ATATTAAGTATACTTATGACAGGCAATGCTAATTATTACATTAAAAATAGTTATTAATAGGGGAAACATGTTAGATATCAATATCTATATTCTTTAGTAGTTAAGCAGATGAATACATATTTACAGCTTTGGGGATATCAACTATGAATCACATATATTGAATATGGAAAAAGTAGACTCTTACAATCTAGAATGAAAATGTATGCTCCCAGTTTTGCAGATAAATGCCAGTGTTAGATGAATATATCTAGAATCATTTGAAGTAAGTGGTTATTTAATTTATATTTTATTTTATATGCTAATAAAACATTATTGTTTATATTAATTTAGGTAACATCAATGAACTCATTGATGCTATTTACCAGCATGATATTGATATGGATAGTTAGCTAATATTGAAGCAAAATAATAAATCCCTGTACAGATTTCACTTAACATGTGTTCAATGTACAATATGTAATTATTTCTACAAAATGAACTAATTAGAAAGGATAAAATCTCTTTGTTGTAGTTTATGTTTATGTCTTTCATCCAGCTGTTAGGAAACTTCAGCATTACATTGAAGGAGAACAGCAAATCCTAATTGACATATAAAATGTCTTTAGACAAAGTAAATAACAGTAGTTATCAATATGTAAACAGACCTTCATCTATAAAATAATTTCTACGTGAGTCCTGGAAACTATATAGGTCATATGAACCAGGAAAATATAACTAAATATGAGTACTTTATATTTATTGAATAAAATAACTAACAATAGTGGAATGACCTGTAGTTTTTCTCACATACATAATTACATAAAATATATTGAACTCCACAAAAGGGCAATAGTCCGATCAAAAATACACTTTGAGATATATTAACATTACTCTCATAATACTGCACATTATGTCCAAAAGAAGAAAGATTTTGCCTTTTTGTTTCTCTTACATAGTATCAGATATCATAGGAAGAAATAGAATGATTAATAATGTAACTGACATATTATGGCAAATCAGTTATGTCTTTCCATATTTGACTTACTTTATTTTTAAAGAGATTAAGAATTAGTCATATAGGGCCTCCTTGGTGGTACAAGGGGTTAAGTCTCAGCATTATTAAGCTTGCTGCAGTCACTGCAGCACAAGTTCCAACCCTGGCCAGCCAGGGAGCTAACCCACATGGTGCAGCAGACCTCTCCTGTCTCTCCCACTGCTCCCCTTAGTAGTGTATTTCAGTCAATCTACCTGTTCTGCTCCCCACTCTGTCTCTGGTGAATCCTCTCACTCCCCTCCCCACACACCTCTGGCCTACACCCCAGCTCTAGTATGCATAAATGAATAAAACTTTAAAAAAAAAAAGAGTCATATAAAGTAAAGTCATGTGTACTCCTCTTTAATCCCCACCCTCTCTCTCTTTTTTTTTTTTTTTTTTTTTTTATAGAGGCATGTTTTTTTTTTTATTTATTTATTTGTTTGTTTGTTTTGTTTATACATGCACTGGGTACAGTCAGAAGCGCGGGAGGGTGAGAGAATTCACCAGAGCCAGAGCGGGAAGCAGAGCAGGCAGAAGGACCGAAGTACACTGCTGAGGGGAGCAGCGGGCGGCAGGAGAGGTCTGCGCGCCATGTGGGACCCTCGCTGGTGGCCGGGGAGCAGCCGGGGATCGAACCGGCGCGGGCAGCTTCGCAACCCAGCGCTCAACCGCTGCGCCACCGGGGAGGCCCCTCTCTCTTTTTTTTTTAAGATTTGTATTTATTTATTTATACAAGCACTGGGTACAGTCAGAAGCGCGGGAGGGTGAGAGAATTCACCAGAGCCAGAGCAGGGAACAGAGCAGGCAGAAGGAACGAAGTACACTGCAGAGGGGAGCAGCGGGCAGCAGGAGAGGTCTGCGTGCCATGTGGGACCCTCACCCAGAGGCCGGGGATCAAACCGGCGCTGCAGAGGCTGTGGGCAGCTTGGCAACCCAGCGCTCAACTGCTGCGCCACCGCCACTGGGGAGGCCCTCAACCCTCTCTTTCTATCCTTAATTGGGAATGGTTACTACTGGTGATAAATTTTCCCTGATATATCTATATAAGTTTTCCATGTATTCATATATAAACTAAGATAGTAGAATATCTCTGTATACTTAAAATTTCTATATAAATATGTGATTTATTATTCCATTACTTTTTTCAATATTCTTTGTTGTTATTACAAATCTAGTTTATTTTGACCATTGTATAATAATTCATTCTATGGTTATACCACACTTTTGGTGATTTTTTTGGTATTTGGTATTTTAGATTGCATATAGTCGGGTAAAGGCAGTAATATTCACTTAACTAAAAATGGATTTACTTTTTCAAGGTAATGTGTATCTACGGTTGTTTGTAGTGTTGAAATCTAGTTCATAGATATCAGCACTAATGGCTATGTGTGTGTGTGTGTTTGGCTGAATTGTGAAGGATGAAACTGCAAACATCAGGATCATTTGGAAAGCAGGAGGAAGAAAGACAAGTGTATACAGTTGTATGCCAGTTGATCTCTATTTCAAAGAGTTTTCCTGAACAATTGCATCCAACATTCCCCACATGTGTGTAACATTTATCTTATATAATATCATATGGGTACTAAAAACAATTGAGGATCAGCAATTTATTTTCCTTTGTGAGCTGAGTATAATAAAACATAAATAAAATCAAGCTTATATTTTTAAGAAAAAATGAGCAAGAAATGCTGCCAAAATACTATTCCTGTAGATTTATATTTCCACACATGCATAAGTATTTCTCTAAGGTCTATCTAGTAGTGTGAATACAAGATCATAGATAGGAGAATTAAAAATATCATTGACCAATTTGGGATCGTTTTGTGTACAAAAAGGAGGACTGCTAATTATTATGGCAGGAAAATATTGAATACTATTTTGTATTTCATACAAAATTTTTCTTTTGTTCTTCCTAGTCATAGAATATATGCTTCTTTAAATGATCTATATATTAAGTTGCAAATTAGCTTAGAGCTTTCCAACAGCATTTGAGATTTTCCACTGATCTCCATTCTATCCCAAACTTAGCATTACATTTTATGTTTTTCCAATGTGATTTTTGAAAAATGTATTCTAGATTATCATGAACATGCTTACCAGAGAGGTTTACTGAATAGTTCTATTACCCAGTTTCCATTGAATTGTTTTATACAAACAGATTTTTAGTAAATCTTTATATATCCTATCTATGCTCATCCCACTGAAGAGTTACGGATGCTCGACCAAAATTAGTTTCAATGTGGAAAATGATAATACACACCCAAATGAGTGTGAAAGATTTATTAATAACATAATAATTTCATACAGAGGGCAGAACACTTTCCTAAACTGGTACAAAGCTGTTTTGAGAGTGTGCAAAGAAAACTGGTTTGTGGTTTTTATGGGGGTAAGGGTTAAAGCTTTGCTAAGGATTCCCAAACTTGGTTTACTTTAAATTCCTGCTAGAACTTGAAAGGGAGCACTTAAATTTTACTATCAGTTTCGAGCGATACAGGAATGAACAGAAAGGAGTTGTAATTTTCAAAGTTATCAGCGACCAAAGAGTAGACATTTTTGACTCTCTATTATAATTAACTTCTGATGGTTGACTGAAGAATGAAATGTGTTGTTTCATTTAATTAAATTTTAGCTTGTTTAAGTAAGTTATTATTGAACTATATTAGGCCTGCAGATTGAGACTACTAAGTGAGGTAAACATTACAGTGAATTTCTAGTGTAAGATTCAAACATTGTATATTCTATGACGTAAACACTGGTTATTATCAGTGGTGTCTGGACTACTGTAAAGGTAAGTTCTCATATCAGTGCTTTAATAGAGGTAGATACATGAATAATCTTGATTTCCATGTCTGTGAAGTAAGACGAGGGCCCTCCCTCAAATAAGTAATCAGTGTTTCTGACAGTGACCAGCAGAGGACCCCAAGTAGCTGTGTGAATTTTCAGATTTTGTTTATTTCTGACTAAGGAATACTTTGTCAAGATCCCTGCTTAATGTTTGCTAATTGTGTTAACTCTAAGCCAAAGAAGATTTTTTCCTCTTGGGTTTTGTAATTTTGGATTGTTAACTCATAGTTTTGAATCCCTCAAAAAAAGAAAGCTTCTTCTTACCCCTCTGTAATGATAGTTATTTATTTCTTTACTACCCAGTTATTCCTAGCTCCCTTTATTGCCTCTCTGTGATAACTCCTTTATTTTTCTATCCAGCACCTTTCTGAGTAGGAAGACTTTCAAGAATGCTAAATATAGATCTGTATATAAATTCTAATTACCAGTTTATATTCAAAGTCTCAGTTCCTTCCCCAATGAGGCATCATAACTTAAGATTCTAGATTCCTAAAATTAACAACCTGTACCATGAAGCATTCAGGGTATTTAGTGCTGTGCCTTCCACTTGATTTTAACCCCTAGAAATTTCCTTTAGTTTCTTTGAAAATTATCTAGCAATTAAATGGGATTTTCTGAAGCATTTCTAATTGTTTGTAGTAAGAGATCTTTTCAAATTATCTAATCTCTCATTTCTTTTTAAAGTAAATGTATGATTTCTTTTTGGTTAAAGTATCATATAAATAGAAGAAAAGAATATTAATACTAGTAATAGTGAGATCGTGATTTATTACTTTACTATGTATACATTATATGCTTACTACACATTATGTATTTTAATTCTCACTGCTCCATAAAATATGTAGTATTACTCTGTTTTTTTCCAGATAAGAAACTAGTGGCTTATTAACATTAATTGGAAATCTAATTTAGGGTGGCCTGATTCCATCCATTCACTCATTCAGAGTATGTATGAGTTTATCCATTTATTTAACAATATGTGCACAGTCTAGTAGTAGAGATGGATATAAAACAAAAGTAACCAAAACATAATTATCCAAATTGTAATCATAACTATGAAAAAAAAGTGTAGGTTGCAACAAGAGCTTATGGTCATGTATATCATTAAGGGTGAGTTATCAAAGAATAAATGGTTAAGCACTGAAATATAGAATGCTTCATGAATTTGCATGTCATCCTTGCACAGGGACCATACTAATCTTTGTATCTTTCCAATTTTAGTATATGTGCTGCCAACGCAAGCACAAGTCATGAAATACAACATTTGGCAATATAGACTAAGTTAAGATTGTGTATAGGTATGTGGTATTAGAGTAAAATAAATGAAAAAAGAGAAAGGGAGAGAGGATGTTACTGACTGACATGTAGAGGTATTTTGAAGTTAAGACATGAAGTCACTGGTACCTTCAGAAAACTGCAGGAAGATTAAGTATGGGTAGTATATAATATCAAAATGAAGAACCCAGGCTACAATTAAAGCATGTAGAACATAATAAGTAATGTTAAAAGCATTAAAATATATTAGGTACCTTTATTGTAGTTAATGTATGCATAGGAATTACTTTATTGGTCATGCTAATACAGAACTTTCTGTCTTAATGGTCCCATTAAACATTATTAAATTTTGTGGCCTTCACAACTGGGATGTTGACATTCCATGCATCCTTAAAAGTCAGTTATACATTAGGCAAAAAAATCAGGAATGTGAAAAATATTGTACTGTGAAGGAGTTAATTCTTTCAAGTGAATTAGAATAGGAAGAAGAGGTATAAAAATTGGTAGATAAACTCAGACCAATTTTATTGAGATTTTAGGTAATATGTGTGAATAAACTAAAATATCATTTGAGGGCTCGAGGGCTACTTTGGTAGTTTCTTCTTTTTTCATTATTACAGGGAGTACTTCAATAAACAATCTCATATTAGTCTCCTTATATACATGACTGAGTTTCTCTAGGGTAGACACTTAGAAATTAAATTTAAAGGTCACAGAGAACAAGCATTTTGACTTTCTGGTATAATTAAATTCTCTCCAAAATAATTTTAAAAACATATAGTTCCATCATCAACAAGATCTCATTTTCACAAATTTAAGTATTGTCTCAGGCAGTCAGTGAAAAGATATCAAAGTAGTTAGTTACAGAGTTACAATAAGAACAAAATAGACACTTGACAATCTCAGAGTCTGCTAAAGTCAAATCAAGGTATTTAAGGTATTTTTAATTCCTTTTTTTTTTTTTTTTGCCATGAGCCAATGATATGACAAAACCACTCATCATCAACTTGAAGAAGAGGGAGAAATCTAATGCATTAAAATATTTATGAGGTCCTCAAGATTACCCCCCACATTTCCCATTAAGAATTCAGACTTGACTTAACCCAAGCTGGAACAAAAGCAGTATTTTAGGTGTTTCAAGATTTCTGAACAGGCACTTATATGAAGCAGTCTATCAAGCCCTTTCTTAAGAAAATTACAAATACTTTAATAAAATTATATGTTATGAGTGCTATTATTCAAAGTTTATAATGAGTATACTTCAACATAGATATGTGACAGATTTTCTTAGTTACAGAGCTATTAAAGTTTGATAATTTATGTGAAATTTTCACTCGCATTAAATTCATGCGTTTCTTTATTCTCTATGTCTCTGAATCAAAATCTCAGTTGTGAAGTCTGTGTGGCGATGGTGCTATAGGAGAGGAAAAAATTGAACTATAATTCAAAACATTGGATTTTGACAGTAGGGTTAGCATTCTGGAAACTTTGGCCCCAAAGTAGAATTATTATGCACTGGAAGGAAGGATGGAAAATAGGTAGAATGATGAATATTTTGTAAAAATCTGCTGAAAAGAAAATTTTAACCAGTAATCTCAGCTTTTCAAATTTTCTCTAGCATATTTATATTAGTCCTTTATTTTAGTAACACCAGAAATTAGCTCTGCCATAAAAAATAATTTAGGGCTCCTTCTTAATAGATAAAAATATAATCATTTTATCCATGCAATTATTTTTTATGACTTTGTTAAATTAGCATTTTTTAAAGATTATTTATTCATACAAGAACTGGGGTACAGGCCAGATGCGCCGGAGGGTGAGAGGATTCACCAGAGACAGAGCAGGGTACAGAACAGGCAGACTGACGAAGTACACTGCTGAGAGGAGCAGCGGGCGAGACAGGAGAGGTCTGCCTAGCCATGTGGGACCCTCACCTCTTGGCTGGGATCGAACCGGCACTGCAGAGGCTGCGGAGGGCTTCACAGCATGGTGCTCAACCGCCTGTGCCACCAGGGGAGGCCCTAAATTAGCATTTGTTAAGTGGAGCACAGGCAGAAATTGAAAAAGACCACAAGAGAAATTGAACTTTATTAGTGACACTTCCTGGAAGAAGTAGGGAGCATGCCTTGAGAGTCTCACAGGAAGATCAAGGCAGAGAACAGACAAAAAGACAGAAGCTAGAAACTTGCCTTTATTATGGTAAAAGTGTTTTGGTGGATTGTTTGGAGGTTCCTGGGCCTAAAACAGAGACATCCATTCAAACAAAAAGTGGAACATTTTGGTAAGTCCTGCAGGGGTTGCATATAAAAGTATAAAGCAAAAAGGCGCTCGGAGTTGCAGGGGGTGGGTGGTGGTGGTTGGTTGACCACAGTGTCCTCTGGGAAAGTCAGTGGGAAACTTTATCTGCTTTGTGATTCTGGGCTGTTGCTGAGAGCAAATTCTTCCGTGAGAGGTCTACAGTCAGTTTAAGGTCCTTGCAGGTCACTAGGCTAAATAAAATGGATGCCGAGGGAGTAGTACATGGAGCAGCTTAGTTAAGCAATCAACAATCATTTACAGATTTGTACTGATAAACATCAGCTGTGAAGCTATTTATATTTAGAATATATTGAGGAGATATTGTCATACCAAAAAAAAACCTGTTAAAGCTTCTCAATGCTTAAAGAATTTGTTTTCTAGGTCCAAGTTGTAACAAAAGTATACTGTATTTAAACAGTATTTTAGAGAAATTACAAAAATCATATAATCATTGGCTAATGAGTGACATACATTTGTGTGTGTGTTTTAAGTAGGGTAAACTCATTGATATTTTTAAAAAGTAGTTTTAAGAACAAGAGTTTATATTGTATTAAAATTTAATTCAGTTTAATATTGATGTGATTTATATCTTTTTAAAGAGATTTAATTATTTATGCATAACAAGAACTGGGGTACAGGCCAGGGATGTGGGGGTGAGAAGATTCACCAGAGACAGAGTGGGAAGCAGAACAAGCAGACTAACTGAAATATACTGCTGAGGCGGTCAGCGGGTGAGACAGGAGAGGTCTGCTGTGCCTTGGGGTTAGCTCCCTGGCTGGGGATGGAACTCATGCTGCAGTGGCTGTCGATAGCTTGATAGCGCTGAGACTTAACCCCTTGCACCACTAGGAAGGCCCCGGGATTTATATCTTAATAATTTTGGAGATTATTTATTTATTTTTGTTGAGGTAACACTGGTTACAACATTGTGTATGATTTAGAGCTAGAGGACCACGCACTTCAGGTATTACCACTCCACCCCCACCAAGACATCTGTGGTCCTTCTCCATAGTCCACTGTTCTTCTGCTCTTTGTTCTTACTCCTCCTCTTCCTCTCACTTAGGTAACCTCAGTTCCACAGTCAGCTATCTAGGGTTTGTCGTTGGTTTGGCTATATGTGACTCTGTTTGGTTTCTCTCTATTCCACATATCAGTGACACCATCTGGTATTTGTCTTTCTCTTTCTGACATTTTGATGAGTATCATCCTCTTCAGTTCCATCCATATTGTTGCAAATGGTAAGACTTCATCTTTTTTATTTTTTATTTTTTTAATATAGCTGAGTAGTAGTCTATGTATATATCTGCCACATCTTCCCAATCCACTCATGTGTCTTTTGGCACTTTTGAAAAAGAGTGCATTAGTATATAAATAATTGATAGCTATCATTACCTTATTTGATTAATTGCATTCCTATGAAATAATGAGCATTCAGTGAACAAATGTTTAACCATGATTTCAAGCTATAGTATGTGTATCATAGTTATAATTCTTCTTAATTCATTCTGTTATTTTAAATAACAAACTCATAGGTGTTTTATATATGGTTTATGTAAAAAGCCAACTGGGATATATAGCATACTTTAGCTCATGATATTTTATTCACAAAATTGTAAGAATTGTATTCCTTTACTCTCTTAATTTCATATTTTATCACATAATTATAGTAAAATATATACTATAGAGACTTTTTTGGTGGCAGTAGAAAGAAAATTTGGTACAATTTCTAACAACTGAAAGTTTCTCTTAATTGCTTTCACAAGAGTTTATGAAGTTTTCAATTTCATTATTATTATAAGAAACATCATTCGTTTCTATTGAACCTCATAGTATGTGTCTATTTTTAAATTTTCCTGAATTTGTTCCCTTAATTTATTGTTTAGTTTTTTACCTACTTTAAATTTAGTTCTCTGATTTACTTGTTGATATAGCTGCACACATCATTAAATTTCATCTAATACACTCTAAACTATCATTTTCTATCTTAACACAGTCTATCTTGACTACTGCTAGGGAAAAAAAGGTAAAAAATAGCAAGGCTTAAAATGAATTATCTTCTTTAAAAATATTTACACATAGCCGTAAAACTAGGATCCTTAGTAATCATTGTTTACCTTTATCCAATTTCAGGGATTGAGATCATCCAAAATTGGATTTTTAATTGACAAAAGTTTTTCTAGTTTTTTCTACAATACAGTGTAAAGGGTTTTAGTCCCACTTTGGCAAGCCCAGCTATCCAGATACTGTCCTCTGAGTTCCATAAGCATATGGGAAGTCTTATTTAGCCTGTTTGACCATGGCTGACTCTTTCATAAGATTCCTACAAGGAAAAGTATTCTCAAATGCAGGGTGTCAGCTTTGGGTTTCCATTTTTATTCAGATTATTGTTTTCATAATTTTCATTATCATAAGAACTCTCTGTGCCTTAACATACTGCTACCAAAAGAGGAAGTCACTTGTGGCTATTTTAGAGAACTTTACCTTTAAGTAAAAGAATGCTAGAGAACAGTAGATCGTTTATACTTATTCAATCTTATTTACAAACTCTAGTATATTTTCTAAATCTTTTTTAAAAAGTTGGGTAAACTTGTAATACTGTTTTACTATGACAGTTTTCAATAGCTATTTTTTAAGTTATGACATTGAATGTGTATTAGCTTTTGACTTTATTC